TAATCCAAGCCCTGTTGGATCCTGATTTTATTTAAAATATTGTTTGTCATTTTTTTTTAACATTAGTTTTGTCTTTTTGTGTGTGTGGTAAAAATACATATAACAAAACATTTGCTTTTGCAACCTCTTTTACAATTCAGTGATAGTATGTTCACTGATCATTTTCTTTTTGCAATCATTGCCACCATCTCCAAATTTTTGCATCACCCTTAAAGAGCTCTGGTGGCGCAATGCCTAAAGCATCTGACTGCTAACCAGAAGGTTGGCGGTTCAAACCTACCAGTTGCTCTGTGGAAGGAAGATGGAGCAATCTACTTCCACAAGGATTTACAAGCCTTGGAAAACCAACGAGGGTCACTATGAGTCAGAATCTACTTGATGGCAGTGGGTTTGATTTGGTTTTTTTGTAATACAAACTCAGAATCCCTTAAGCAATAGCTCCTCTTTCTCCCCTCCCACTGGCTCCTGGTAACCAATACTTTGGTCTCTATGAATTTGCCTCTTCTAGATTTTATGGACGTAGGATCATACAGTATTTGTCCTTTTATGTCTGTCTTATGTCAATCTACATGTTTTCAAGGTTCATCTACGTTGTAGCATGTATCAGGCCTTCACTTCTTTTGTGACTGAGTTATATTTCATTTTATGTATGTGGCACATTTTGTTTATCCACCCCTCTGTTAATGGGTATTTGGATTGTTTCCACCTTTGGCTATTGTGCCAAATGTAACATTAGTTTACAAGTATCTGTGTTCCTGCTTTCAGGTCTCTTGGGTTGTACCTAGGGGTGGGATTGCTGGGTCGTGTGTTTAATGTTTTGAGGAATAACTTTGATTTAAAAAATACTGTATTAAAATATTACTCATGTTGATTACTTAGTTGTGTGGTGTTCCCTTAAAATTTTGTGTCTGAGGCAAAAGCCTCATTCCCTCATCATATTTCCTGCCCTGACCAAACGCTGAATTTTGCGTGTTCTCCCCTTCTGCAGGGGCAGAAGGAAGAATGGTTCCTGTAAAGAGTGAAGCAGAGTAAAAAATAACCCAGACTAAAACTCTTTAAGGGGAACAAAGTGTCCAAGGTCCACTGCTAATTTGAGAACACTCTGAAGCCTGAAGATCAACCCCCTTGAAAGAGCAGTCACCCTCTCCCATGAGACAAAGGGAACCTAGTCTAGGACACTACGTCAAACCACAGGAGGGCAGAGCATACCTGTCAAGCAAGGCACCATGCAGCCTCGCCTGAGCCCCTCCCTCTTTCCTGGTCAGTTCTAGAAAAGCTGAAACAAACAAAAAACTTCACTGCCCTCTATGAATTGGTTCCGACTCATAGAGACCTCCTCGGGTTTCCGAGACAGTATCACTACAGAAGCTGATTGCCCAACTTTCCTTCCAAGGAGTGGCTGGTGGGTTTGAACCACCAGCCTTCTGGTTAGCAATCAAATGCTTTTGGCACTATGCCATTCAGCCCTTGAACTGAAGCTCCCAAGCAAACAAACAAATCTTAGATAAGGTAGGAAGGGTATCAGGGAACTCTCCTAAAACATGTGCTTATGCCAAGGTCTGGGAAAAGCTGATCTACTGAGCATGAAATCACAGGCCTTCTTGAAGTCCCTCACTGTCATGTCTAGTCTCAGGGCATTTGCATAGACTGTTTCCTCTGCATGGGTCATTCCTCCTCCTGGCCTCTCTGACCATCTCAAGACACTCTACCACTCAGCCCCACAATATATTCTCATAGCATCTTTCATACTTTCTAACAATGCCATTTTACTTTTTTTTTCATCTTTATTGTGATTTGTGTGAAAATTTACAGAGCAAATTCATTTTCCATACAGCAATTCATACACATTTTGTTTCATGACACTGACTGCACTCCCCACAATGTAACAGTTCTCTTGCACTTCCTCCTCACAGTTACCTCTTCCCTGTGTCCTTCCCTCCCATGCACTTCCACCCCACAGGGCTACCTCCTGGTACAAAGACTACCTTTCTGTTCTTCCACAATTGATTGCTCCAAGGAGTATCTACCTGATGTAAATGTTCACCCTGTATGTCTATCTATTGTTTGGTTGGAAGTCCCAGGAGTTCAGTTCCAGACCTGAGGGTAACTAGGGGCCATAGTTTCAGGGGACTTTCCAGGCTCTATCAGACCAGCATACCTGGGTTTTTTTTTGTTTTTTTTTTGATTTTGAGTTTTGTTCCACATTGTTCTCCCACTCTATCCAGCATTTCCTGCACCGATCCCCCTCCAAGTAGTTGACAGTGGTAGCTGGGCATCATCTAGTTCTTCTGGTCTCATGGCCATATAGGCTGAGATCACATGGTCTACTCATCCCTTGGGCTAATTGTTCCATGTGTCATTGGTTTCCTTCATTCCTCTTTGCTCTGGACGAGGAGAGACCCATTATTGTATCTAGATGGCCACTTTCAAGCTTTTAAGACCCATCACTACTCACCAAAATAGGATGCAGAACTATGTTTCTGTTTAGTATTTCATGCCAATTGAGCTTGGTGTCCCCTGTGACCATGGTCCAGGGGATACAGGTCCAATTACTCATTGCTTCAGGGTAGCTGACTGTGGCCAAGAAGATACTACAACCATGTCCCTTGTCAGCTCTACTATACACTGGACATTCTTACAGCACATACATACATGCAAGTAGAAACACTGTCTGCCAACCCTATACATGGTCATGGGCACACTCCCCCCTTGCCTAGACATACCTGATCATTCATCCTTTCCACCCATCTATTCACCCATAGATCAATGCTTACCATCACCGACAACACAGTACTGTACATGCAAAAGGGTTCATCTTTGTTGTCTGTACTCATGTACCTCTCTGTCTTCCTCTTCCTCAGTGTCACCATGTGATTACTCACTTTTGGCACATTGCCCTTCCCTTCACCCAAATCAATACTTGTCTCTACCTACCTAACATTTCACTTTTCTGTGATTAACACTTATTTTCCTCCACCAAATCACTGAGTTTCGTGAGGGCAGGGAATACATCTCCACTCTCTTTGGCAGCCAGCAGTGCCCGCTCTAAATACTAGTTGAAGTGAGTACACGGTCCATAGGAAGAGAGATTTGTACATCCTGATACAGAAAGATTTCTAAGTGGGTACATACAATATGGGGTAGTGTGGAGGGTCTGTTCCATTTTGTGTAATTGAAATACTTACCCATTAGGATAGTTGATCTATACTGGACCACTGTGGTTACATATTTATAGAGATTTGATTAATGTTACATGCCGTTATCATGTTACCTTAGCTCTGGACAGCTCTCCTCTTGAGGACAAAAAGGCTGCAGTAGCTCCAGCCTTACATCTTCCAGAGTTCAATTTGCATATTATGTTAAAAAAACAAAAAAAGGAACATCTCCTCTTAGGGTGGCTCAAGCCAACTCCAGCTGGGATTAGCTCTGACTGGGCCTAACGGCTCTCAGTTTAAACCAAGATCACCAGCGTGTAATCTTGTGCTTACACACACAAGAGAGATTAGGTGCAGTTCATCGAAAGGAAGTCCAAGTCTTTTAAAAAAACTGTTGCTATAGCATCAATTCACAGTGACCCTACAGGGTTTCCAAGGTTGTAATCTTTACAGATGCAGACTGCCAACCTTTTGGTTAGCAGAACACTTAGCCACTGCACTACCAGGGCGCCTTAAAGTCTGAGTAGTTACCAAAATGAGAAGAAATGACACGACAAGGCCAAAACAAAGAAAGACACATCACTAGGAGCTGGTAAATGTACATTTTTTTTAAAAGAAAACAAATTGTTAACAGTGGCCTCCATTAGACAAAGGACTGGGGGTGGGTAGGAGGCATATATATTTCACTTTGTGCCATTCTTATAATTCAAATTATCTACCCATGTACATGTGTTACTTTTCATTTTTTAAGATCACAATTAAAATTTTTCCAAACATACTTAGTTTTTAAAAATGACACCTGTATATAAATTCAGTAACTCTTATTTGGAGTAGGCTCCAAGTCCTGCACAGCAAAATCTGACATTAACAAGGAGCACACCATGTTAGTACCATAGAAAACAATAGTTTTAGGCACTTTACCAAAGAATAACGTCTAGAATCAAATGAGGTGATCTAGTCCTCTCCTACATCCTGCAATGGACTCTACGAATTCCCAATTTAACACTTTAAAATTGTCACATTAAATGGACTATCTGAACCCTTGACACCAGCATTATTTCTTCCTAATCGAGGAAACAAAACGAAGCCAAGACTTTCCAGATCATGTGAAACATGCCAGGTACCAAAAGTTCTCTCTAACTGGTAAAAGGGATTCAAGACAACAAAATTCAAAGTAAATACTCAGGCTTCTAAGTTGTATTATTTTCTGTTTTCTGCATTTTCGGCAGAGATTTTAGGTTTACACATCCTGACAGTCTATTTAGGTTTTAGCTCCCTACAGTGCTCTGATCACATGTTCTAATTTCACACCTAGACATGCTGCTCTCCACGAAATACAATCATGAAAATGATGCTGGTAGCATAAGTCTGATTCAAACAAGTCAGGAGTTTTAAAAGCCTATCTGTTTAGAATCTGGTATCCTTTTGCTTAATACAAACTATGAAGCTCTGACACAGCGAGCCATACAATCAGAGCAGGTGCAGTGAGGAGGGGAGTAATCCCAGTGTCCTGCTCACAAGGCAGGAAGGCCACAGTACAATGACTGACTTGCCAAATTTAAATGCAGAAAAGCAACCCACTCAAGTTTCCATTTAAAGTGATTTTGTAGCAGACATTAATCTGTCGGTGTCTAATATTTATTAGAAAATTTCTGTCTTTTCACTTGAAGCCTTTTAAATGGTAATTCTTATACTGACTACAAACTGGTTGTACAGCAGACCCATTCCAGAAGAAACCAGAATTTCATTTGTTATGTGGTCTCCCAAGCCCGCCTCCACCCTCACGAGCCCTTGTTGAGCCCTCTGTGTCCTACTGCTCCTCCGTAGAGCATCACAACGGCCCTGTTATAGGTCTTCTCTTTTATTCCCAGCTCGATTATCTTCCTTTGAAGCCTGAGATTTTGGATTCCCCTCCTTCTTCTTTTTGCTCTTCTCTTGCTTGGTTTTATTTTTCTCTTTGCTTCCTCCTCCTTTGCCAGGGTATACCTGTCCCTCTAAAGTTACATCAGCACACCTGTCTTGACTGACCAAGAAGTCTTTGATCTCCCAGGCATAGCTCCCATCACGAAGCATGAAGATAGCACGGTCGGATCCCACAATAAACCTTAACAGAGATGCAATCATACAGTCAATGTGTGTCATTAAGGTGCTAAAAATTCAGAGCAATTCAGTGACATTTAAAAAAAAGAAATATAGTGTATTTCAAACTCTTCACGAACACAGAACAAAGGGTTCTATGTTCTTAGGTCTAGTAGCTACTAACATTCTAGTGTTTGAAAATACAAGCTCATTGAACTATTTAATATTATCAGCTCATATCAAACTGGAAACATACTGGACATTCTTTATGGCACAGTGGGTGCTCATGTTAAGAAAGCACCAGGAGGAGCTCCCAGCACGCACAGAGGTGAATTGAGGGCTGCAGCTGTGGTGGGAAGAAGGACGCCTCCACTTTTATCTGTTTTATATTCTGAGGTTTCATTTGACAAAAGGGTGTTAATAAAATCTGAATGGCACTGGCATAGACTGGGTCAAGGTTAGAGACCCACAAAAGCCTGAAGAGGATATTCAGCTACCGAACAGAAATCTTAACCTCTGAGGTTAACAGCAAGTAGCCCAGGTCCATTTACACTCAACAGGTCCCAAGGAGCAAAGAGAAACAGAAAAGGGTCTGGATGGACTCCTAGTATGACCAATGGGCACAGGTCTTCTGTTCCTGAGGGGTGACACCCACCATCCCACACAGTTTATAACACTCCCACCATCCCACACAGACGGGGACCTATGGATCAGTTACCAACAAAACATTTATTTATCCTCCTTAAGTGCCTATTTCACTAAAGCATTCTGCTTTCACAGACATGAGCTAAGTACTCCTTCCATTTCTTTCCATTAGCTTTAAGTTTTCAAAACTAGCATTTGAAGACACTAAATTTCAAACTATTATTGAGGAGAAAAAAAAGATTCCTTAAAATCATATTCTCAAAGCCACAATGAGCTGTGAAAACTGGGCCTTTTCACATCAAACTAGTTATCTGTTAACTGTCTGGTCTAAATCTTTACGTGTGAACATGTTTTGTGCTGTCAAGCTGATTCCAACTCACAATAATCCTACAGGACAGAGTAGAACAGCCCCAGAGGGATTCTTAGGCTGTAATCTTTATAGGAACAGATTGACAGATCTTTTCTCCTGTGGAGCCACTCAGGGGTTCAAACTGCTCACCTTTAGGTTTTAACCACTGCACTACCACAGCTACACATAAAAGCATTCTTCATTGAGCAGAAACATCTAAAGAAAGTAAACTGTCACACTGTGACTAATCTGTTCCTCTCCAGAGGCTAGGCTATCCATTATGATTTTTACTCAGATGAAATAAAAGCTAGATATATAAAGATAAGTAAAACTTCAGGATCAAATGAAAATTTAAAAGAAGGAATTCTAGAAAGGAAAGGCTCAGGCCCTTGGTTAAACACCATACCCTGCTTATCCTCAGAAAGAGAGAGTCCCAGTGCAGCCTACAATGTTCTCAGCAAGGTGCTGGTGCTTTACCTCTGGACATCATAGTTGGCATTGAAAAGACTGCCCTGCCACAGGCTAGTGATTTCCTCCGTCTCCTTCTCTGTGGGGCTTCCTGAGACAGTGACAAACATCATCAGAGTCTTCCCTTTCTTCGTCATTTTCAGTATGCTTTCAGGCTTGCCCGGATCAATCTGTGAGAAGTCAATAGGTGCAGAGGGTCTTTTGTGCTCTGGAAGATCTCCTTCTTCGATGTCATCATCTTTCTATCAGGACAAAGGGAAAAAACAAGTATCAAACCTATTGTCAGAAACTTTCTTTTCAATTAGTAGAGGCAAAATATCTGCAATATTCTGTCAGGGGCAGGTATGTGACCTCAGTTATAACAGGAAAAAGGAAACCCATGGTTTTTCTTCTCTATTTGACTTATAAGCCAAGTTTAATTTTCAGGCAGTATTTAATTATATCCATCACCCCAGGTTGCCAATCACAGGGCGCCCCCTTGTGATGGTGTTTCCATAGCTTTTCACTCTTGGTCACACGATGAAATACTGTATAGCAATGAGGGACAAATACTGACACTTGATAAAGCTCAAAACAGAATGACAGAGCCAGACACAAAAGGAGATATAATATACAATTTCATCAATTTAAAGTTCAAAAATATGCAAAACTATACTAGGATGACAGAAATTAGAACAATGGCTGCCTTTGAGTGGGGTGGGGGAGACTGTGAGGTGGGGCTGACTGAGAAGTAACAAGAGGGAAATTTCTGGGATGATGGAAATGTTCTGTTTTTTGATAGGGGTGGGGATTAAACAGGTGCATCCATTTGTCAAAATCCATTGCCTTGTACACTTAAGATCCATGCAGTTTATACATATCAATTTCATCTAAAAAAATAAGAACTGTAAACAAATATTTGATTTTAGTGACTTTTTTTTTTTTTTTTGCATTAGTATGAACTAGCAATTCTGAAGCTACTTTCTGTGAATTCTAGACTTGAGCACAGGAGTAAATATACTGAAGATAATGAGCCAGGTACCTCACTTTTAGAAAGGAAGTTACAAGTATACCAGGGAGAAGAATGTACCCTGAGGCAATGGACTGGAATTCGAGTGTCAGGAGGAACTCATGGCTTTTGATAGGTACGTAAGATAGATAAAAACACCAAAAAGGACCAGGATTTTGTAGAGAAAAGGCTAACTCCAGGGCTAGAGCAAAGGAATATAAGGTAAGCCTAGAATATCCTCTTGCTTCAAAAGTAAAGTACTCAAACAATCATGGGAACATGACAAAATGAAACAGGAGCCAATTTGCCATTAGCCACATTAGCCAAAGCTGGAATTATTTGATCAAAATAAATAATAACAATGGCTTATAACCTAAAGAATAAGAACTATGGAGTCTATACTAATATAAATAAACAAATGAATAAACTACTACTAGTTGTTGTTGTTATGTGCCGTTGAGTCGGACCGGCTCATAGCGACCCCTCCTTCGGTTTCTGAGGCAGTATCACTCTACGCAAGTAGACTGCCCCATCTTCCTTTCGAGGAGTGGCTGGTGGGTTTGAACCACCAGCCTTCTGGTTAGCAGTCAACTGCCTTAGGCACTATGCTACCAGAGTTGTTGTTAGGTGCTGTCAAGTTGTCTCCAACTCATAGTGATCCTATATACAGCAAAACAAAACACTGCCGGTCCTGCTCCAGCTCCAAGATCCTTGCTGTACTTGAGCCCAATGCCACAGCCACTATGTCAATCCATCTCATTGAGGGCCTTCCCTGCTTTTGTTGACCCTCCACCTTACCAAGCATGACATCCTTCTCCAGGATAACATGACCAAAGTACATGAGGTAAGTCGGCCAGTCTGGCCAGAGCATTCCGGCTGCACTTCCTCCAGGACAGATTTATTAGTTCTTTTAGCAGCCCATGGTACTTTCAGCATTCTTCACCAGCACCACAACTCAAAAGCATCAATTCTTTGGTCTTCCTTATTTATTGTCCAGCTTTCACACACATATGAGGCAAATGAAAATACCGTGGCTGGTGTCAGGCACACCTTAGTCCTGAAGGAGACATCTTTGTTCCTCAGCACTTAAAAGAGATCTTTGCAGCTGACTTGGCCAATGCTATATGTCATCTGATGTCCTGACTGCTGCTTCCATTGGCGTTGATTGCAGAACCAAGCACTGTGAAGTCTTTGATAACTTGAATCTTTTCCCCATTTACTGTGATGCTGCTTATAGGTCCAGTTGTGAGGATTATACTGCAGACTGTAGTCTTTGATCATCAGTAAGTGCTTCAAGTCATCCTCACTTTCAGCAAGCAAAGTTGGTTGCGTTGTCAGCGTATCCCAGGTTGTTAATGATTCTTCCTCCAATCTTGATGCCACGTTCTTCTTCATATAATCCAGCTTCTCAGATTATTTGCTCAGCATACAGATTGAATACATACAGTGAAAGGATACAACCCTGATGCACTCCCTTCTTGATTTTAAACCATGCAATGTCCCTTTGCTCTGTTTGAATGACAGCCTCCTGATCTATATACTGGTTCCTCATGAGTACAATTAAGTGTTCTGGAATTCCCGTTCTTCTCAATGTTATCCATAATTTGTTATGATCCACGGAATCAAATGCTTTGGCACAGTCAATAAAACACAAGTAAACATCTTTTGGTATTCTTTGCTTTGAGCCAAGATCCATCTGACATCTGCAATGATATCCCTTGTTCCACGTCCTCTTCTGAATCCAGCTTGTACCCATAGAAGTTCTCTATCAATATACTGCTGCAACCATTTTTTAATTATCTTCAGCAAGATTTTACTTGCAAGTGATGTTAATGATATTATTTGATAATTTCCACATTCTGTGGAATCACCTTTCTTTGGAATGGGTACAAATATGCATCTCTTCCAGTCAGTTGGCCAGGCAGCTGGCAGCTGTCTTCCAAATCTCTTGGCATAACCAAGTGAGTGCCTCCAGTGGGGCATCCATTTGTTGAAACACCTCAATAGGTATTCCGTCAATTCCTGGAGCCTTGTTTGTTCTTCGCCAATTCCTTCAGTGCAGTTTCGACTTCTTCCTGCAGTACCATTGGTTCTTGATCATATGCCATCTCCTGAAATGGATAAAGATCTACCAGTTCTTTTTGGTACAGTGACTCTGTGTATTCCTTCCATCTTCTTTTGATGTTTCCTGCATCATTCAATATTTTGCCCATAGAATCTTTCAATATTGCAACTCAAGGCTTAAATTTCTTCCTCAGTTCTTTCAACTTGAGAAACACCAAGCATGTTTTTCCCTTTTGGTTTTCTAACTCCAAGTCTTTGCACGTTTCATTATAGTAAATGGCTTTGTTTGCTAGTAGACTAACTAATCAATGGAATATAGGAATGATGGAATTAGAAAACCATTAATATATACTAATGGATTAAAAAAAATGATGAGAAACAGGGTATTTACATTGTCTCAAAGTAACTATTACAAATTTAATAATTACAAAGGAAAAAATAGTAACTACATGTAGCAACCTGGCAGATGCTACCATAAGCCAGCCATCAAATCTAACCTCATCAATACAGGGACCAACCAATAACATCTACCTCCCAATAAATTGCATTATGAAGATCAGAACATAGTATCAGTGGTATTTCTACCAAAAAGGCAAAACCTAAAGAAACAACCAAAAAACCAAAAGTGAGGGACATAATGCAAAATAAATGGCCTTATTCTTTAAAATAAGTCAAGGTAAAGAAACAAAGAATGGCTGAGGGACTGTTCCAGATTAAAAAAAGAGTTATCTTATGCTGGGTTCTCTAGAGAAACAAAACCAGTGAAGCTTGTATACATGTAGAGACAAATTTATCTCCAGGATAAATGCAGTTGTAGAGGCTGGCAAGTCCCAAGTGTGTGGATCAAATGTCAAGCTGGAGGCTTCTCCTGACTCAGGCAGCTGCAGGGGCTGACAAGCTCTAGATTCGCAAGCAGTATAGCTGACTGCTGGCTGCTGAGACTGATAAATCCAAGATCAGCAGGCAACACAGCAGGCCAGTGGTTCCAGTCCAGAAACTGGAGATAATGGTAGGTCAAATGCAGGAACAAAAAGTCAGAGTCTTTCCCAAAGTTTCTTCCTATATACTGGAAGCAGGCTACACCCTGAAGGCAACTCCCCTTCAACGAAATTAGTTGCTCACAGCAGATTCCACCATGGAGGTCATTTACAACACATCCACTCTCGTCATAGGGAAAAATTACATCCAGCTGCCAAGCTACTCAAACTCATGGCCCAGCCAAGATGACACAAAACCTTAACTACCACAAGACTAAAGAGACATGCAATGACTCCGCATGGACTAGATTCTGGATGGGGGTGGGAGGAAATAGATATTAAAGATATTATTGGGACAATTAACATTTAAATATGGACTATGGATCATATATACCCAACCAAACCTGCTGCCACTGAGTCAATTCCAACTCATAGTGACCCTGTAGGGCAGAACAGAACTGCCTCTATGGATTCCAAGGCTGTAAATCTTTACAGACACAGACTGTTTCACCTTTCTGCCGCAGAGCGGCTGATGGGTTCGAACTGCCAACCTTTTGCTTTAAACACTGTACCCCTAGAACTCTTTACGTTATGTAAGAGTACTCTATAAGAGCTCATTTTTAAGTTTTAATAACTATAAGCATTGCCATAAGTCAACCCCGACTCATGGCAATTCCATTTGTATCAGGGAAGAACTGTGCTCTGCAGGGCTTTCAATGGATGGTTTCTCAGTAGATCACCAGACCTTTCTTCAGAGGCACCTCCAGGTTGCCTCAAACCTCCAATCTAGTGAATAACAGCCAAGCGCATTGACCATTTGTACTACACTGGCACTATTCTAGTGAATACACTAGAATAGTGTATTCTAGCAATAGTCTGTACTTGTTCTTGGGAAATTAAAAATAAAAAAATAAAATAAAAGTGGGCCAAACTTTCCACCTTTCCCTGTATCTAATGCCCCTCTGCATGTCACTTTGCAGCTCCTCCTAGGAGGACAAGCCATGTGACTTAGGTCAAGTTACTTAACCCCTTGTGCCTTGCTTTGGCCAACAAAATGCTGCAGAAATTGTATTGTGCCAGTTTTTATCTAAGCCTCAAAGGGCCTTGCCTGCTTCAGCTCACTTTCCTGGAATCTTGGAGGAGGGGTCAGGTGGAGCAGACACAAGCCACCTCAGACCAGACAGTCCCAGCCAAGTTGGTAGGGACATCAGAT